GAACAGCAAGCCGAAAAGGATTTCAGCTCGTCATCAGTAATCTACGGAGTACATTTTTATCGTTTCACTGCCCATGTTTAGGGATATGTTCCTTAGTTCCTTATTTCTTACTATTCAGATATATATTTCTATCATTTTCACTGAGTCAAAGTACACATTGCCCGGCCCATGGATTGAATTTACAACTGCTTTGTCAACAAATTCCAAGTTCAGTTCGCCATTCAATGTTGGCTACCCGGTACAACATACACCTGATGAAGGCAGGAGGGAACAACGGCCGAAATTAGGTGATAACTACAACAAAGATGAGGATAATAGTCGGCATATAAATAATGTAAAAACAGTCTTGTTTCTGTCTATATTTCTGAGATGAAGTATTATGTACACTATTTACATTATTCGGACTATTGTCCTCATCTTTGTCGCCATATTTATTACAACGTTTCGGCCTTTCAGTATCTGTCTATATTTCTGAGATGAGGTGATTTATTCACTATTTACATTATTCAGACTATTGTCCTCATCTTTGTCGCCATATTTATTACAACGTTTCGGCCTTTCAGTATCTGTCTATATTTCTGAGATGAGGTATTATGTACACTATTTACATTATTCGGACGATTGTCCTCATCTTTGTCGCCATATTTATTACAACGTTTCGACCTTTCAGTATCTGTATATTTCTGAGATGAGGTATTATGTACACTATTTACATTATTCGGAATATCGTCCTCATCTTTGGCGCCATATTTATTACAAGGTTTCGGCCGTTGTACGCTCCGGCCTTCTTCAGGTGGTTGGAATGTCGAACTGAACCCTTTCTTTCGCTCAATGGTGTAGAATGTTCTAGTTCCACGTGTCATGTCTAACACATGGCCCAGTGGATAAAGGCGTTGGTTAGAGCCAGTTCAATACACGGTTAAGGCAGTGGAGAAGTTGGAGAGGAGAGTTAACAGGAGATAACTGATAATTGACATCCATAAAACATGGCACGTGGAACTAGAACAGTATACCCCAGTTAGCGAAATAAAGGGTTCAGTTCGACATTCAAACTACCTGAAGAAGGCCGAAACGTTGCAATAAATATGGCGACAAAGATGAGGACAATAGTCCGAATAATGTAAATAGTGTACAGTATTGCTTATTTGATAAAACGGTGATCAGTCGTTTTGAAAAAATTGCAGTTTTGATACAGGGTATCTCCCCAGTCAGGAGAATCGACTGACGTATCGGAGTTTTTTCGGTATTCAGCTGTGGAATTTCGTTGTGTTTGAATATCCATCTTTGTTTTCGATAAACTAAGACTCAGACATTGTGTCTTTTCTTGATGAGTAGCCATTGTCATCCAATTTTAAGCGACTCAATTGGTAATTCTTTACTTGTGGTTTGAATCTAAAACAACGTTGTGTTCTGAAACATAAAAGCCTAACATTAATAAAACTATTAATACCATTAAAAGACCGTTAATAATAACATATTAATAAACAAGAAAATTTAGTTTCTAAGTTTCTCGTAATGACTTCATGTATAATTATTTTCCAAGCGTAGATTAGATGTGGCACAAGGCCAAAAGTATGGGGGCACTAAGTGAAGATCGAACTCATTACTCAGTCGTAATTGTTCTAGCGAGACAAACTTGCTAACCATTACACCGCCTGGAGGTGCCCAAATAGTAATTTTCTAAGCGTAGCTCAGATGTGGCACAAGGCCGAAAGTATGGGGCACCCAGTGAGGATCGAACTCACTAAGTCGTAATTGTTCTATCTAAACTAGCTTGTTAACCATTACAACACCTCGAGGTGCCCTATGACTTCGTGTATAATATCCCAAGTATTTCAAGTTTTTAGGTTTGTCAACTTATTGGAAATATAACTATTTTTTACAGGTTTTAAATATTTTTGGTGTCCAATACATTTGCCTGGAACTGTAATAAATATCTAATGTGATTTGAAGTATATAAATATTTAATTTGAAGTATATAAATATCTAATGTGATTTTAATGTTATGTCTCTTACAGGAAATCAAGCAGCAAGCCATGTATTGTTTCGATTCTGGTGCTAAGTTTATAAGTCCTTCTTCATACATGAGTAAACAATTTTTGAATGTTATGTCTCTAAAAGACGTAGTCCTTCATAGCTCTAAACAGGTTCCTTTCCTTTATTATCTGTGAATTTTCATGATTTCTGGAGAAAGTGGAGTGATTTCCTGTTACCTTCCCCACAGTTTTGCATTCCTCTTCAATCTTTTGAACAGGATTAGATGTTTATATCTTGTTTCCTGTTGAAGATTGGGTTTCCGGCTCCCAATTTGTTTTTTCATTCCCTTTTACTCCTAGTAAGGCACGGTGGAGTAATGGATAGCGGCTTGGATTGAGGAATCGGAGAGCCGAGTTCGAATTCCAGTCGAATCCATTACATTCACTTTCGTGCTAACACCCTTGGGAAAGGCGTGAATTCTCTTCTCCCTCAAGCTATGGGTAAATAGCAGGACAGATCGCAACTGGTCTAGGAGAAGGACAACTTTGAATTCAAAACCCGGAGTGGAGCCCCTAAGGCGGATGGACGGCACTTTGTGCTACCTTCCGTCAACTCCGCGCTGGTACCAAACTGTATTGGTTTATCATCTCCTTTGGACTCTGCTAGTAATGCCGAGACGGGGAACTAGACGTTCGAGCAACCCTAGTTCTCCATTACATCCCGCCCAGGCTCGTAGCGCACCGCCCTACTCCATCGTCTCTCGGGACGGACGGATGACGACGAACCCCTTGTGTCTTAGTAGCATTATCAATTTGCTTGAAGTTAAATGATTAAAAAAAAAAAATTCAGAGTAATCTTTCTTCGATACTGGCTTTTTTTTCAGGCAAGCAAACCCAATCTATCGTGTTATTTAACTCATAGCTAGGGAAGGGCGAATAGATATTTTTTATATATTTCCCCTGTGTAAAAGTGAATGCAACAAACTTTAGCCGGAATCTGAACTCGGACTGTCGATTTTACTTTTTGTACTGGTATCCGTGACATTACTTTTTTGGAAAATAAATTTATTTTATTGTTAGTTTTTAGTCTTTATTTTCTTCATGTTATTATTTCAACCTCTTCTGGGCTGAATACGATCCGACACAAAATGCAAATAAAAAAGAGTCTTTAACGAGTATTCCATATCTCGGCAGTTTGTCTTTCATGTACGACGTCTGAACCAATTCGATCACAGAAAACTGTCCAAGACAGAGTTTAAAATTAAAGTCATACTGCCACTTCGCAGTTGCAAAGTTTAACGTCTTTCGTCTTGTTACGTAAACATAGATAAAAAAGAATCATATTTTTTACGCCGAGTATAAACAGTTGCTTCGCCACTGGTTTCCGTCTTATTAAATGTAGAAACCGTCTTTTAAAAATATTAGATCTGCACTGAATTTATTTCTGCATCATTGTATTTAAAGATCAAATATATTTACTCAAGAAAAACAACCGTTTTATCAATAGATTTTATTTTCATGTGGGATGTAATCGCTCACAATCTGAATGAAATAATCAAACTTGAAAAATCTTTGTACCAAATTGTCCGTTATTATTTTATAAGGTTGAGCCATAAGCAATTTGCATTTTAGGAAACCAGTTGTAATGACGAGTTTATAAGCCTAACTATCCCATAAATATGTCAGCTTCGTTCAACCCCAGAAAAGTTGGCCCCCTGTGCCGCGCTCGGAATTTTTTCTCGTCGGAGTCGATCCTTCAAATCTATAAATCAATCATTCGCCTTTGCATGGAGTATTGCTGCCATATATGGTCTGGAACCCCTTCTGTTTGTCTCAAGGTTCTTGATAAGATTCAGAGACGGATTTGCAATGTAATTGGCCCTAATCTGGCATCTCGTCTGCATTCACTCTCTCACAGACGTGCCGTTGCATCCCTCTGTCTTTTTTACAAATACTTTTAGGGTAACTGCTCCGATGAGCTGCTTTCGCTGGTTCCAGGCTTCATGGATTTAAGCGTTCTACTAGGCTGGCATCTCGCTCTCACCCTTTCACTGTCGAAACTGTTAAATGTAGCCGTCTCTTCTACTTTCACCCCAAGCAAGGCGGGAAGCCACTAGCACGCAAGGGGTTACAGAGAGTTGGAGCGAGAACAAAGAGGAGTGATAGAGGAAAGGATGAAGAGAAGGATAGAGGATAGATCAAGGCATCTGGAGACGTCGATTGATGTTACATTTGAATAGTTGGAGATTATAGCTATCAGGAAACAGGAAAAGGGGAAGGAGTTTCACAGGCGAGAGGTGCGAGACATGAAGCTATTAGAGTAGAAGAGACGGCTACATTTAACAGTTTTGACAGTGAAAGGGTGAGAGCGAGGTGCCAGCCTAGTAGAACGCTTAAATTCATGAAATCTGGGAACCAGCGAAAGCAGCTCATCGAAGCAATTACCATGAAAGTATCTTTATATTTTGAAGAAGGAAGATGATAAACAAAAACTGAAATTATTTATAACTCAACCTAATAATCTATCAAGTGATCAAAAACTAAAATTATCAGCCAACTCGTCTGTTTATTCGCGAAAATCTCTGTGTCCCATTCGACAAGGGTCTCAAAGCTTGTATGCACCAATGTCTGAAGCAGTTGATATTATATCATGAGTACAACCAGTCCCATAATACTAAGAAATGACAGCGACACCGAGAAGTAAATGTCCCTCTCTCCTGAGATGACCTGTAATCTGACAATGTTCGTTTGACAGACAATAAATGAAAATTTATGAATAATGAATAATACATAGATTTTGATAGCTGCATATGAACAAACTGAGACAGATGCGATATGAAGAGAGATTGATAAGATGGATATGAATAGCTAGCTAGTTCAGTCTATTCATATCTATCTATCTATCTATCTATCTATCTATCTATCTATCTATCTATCTATCTATCTATCTTCATAGCTAACTAGCTAGCTAGCTATGAATCGATTGAGATAGGTATGAACAGACCGAGATAGGTATTAATAGACTCAGGTAGATAAACTGACAGACATAGATAGATAGATAGATAGATAGATAGATAGATAGATAGATAGATAGATGAGAATAGACATAGATATTAGCAGACTGAGATAGATAGATAGATAGATAGATAGATAGATAGATATGAACAGATTGAGATAGGTATTAAGAGACTGAGGTAGATAAACAGACTAAGAAACAGACAGACATAGATAAATAGACAGACAGATGAGAATAGACATAGATAGATATTAGCAGACTGAGATAGATAGATAGATAGATAGATAGATAGATAGATAGATAGATAGATAGATAGATAGATATGAACTGATTGAGATAGGTATGAACAGCCTGAGATAGGTATGAATAAACTGAGAGAGAGAGAGAGAGAGAGAGAGAGAGAGAGAGAGAGAGAGAGAGATGAACCAATTTATATAGACCTGGCGATATTTTGTTTAAAATTATATTTTAATGTCTTTTTGGAAGTGATATGAATTAGGATGTCGGAGGAAAGACTCTAATGTTCACAGACGACCAGGCGGCTATAGTGCAGGTATTTTATAAAAGGAAACCGAGAAGTGATGTTATTTGATAGGATTTCAGCTGTGGAACTCGTCGGCAGACATTTTTTTTTTCAAATACGTGCTGCTAACACTTTTCAAAAGAAAAAAAGGCCACCTTTATCCTGCTGTTACCCGATATCAGAATTGACGTAACGGAGAGGAAAATGTGCAGTGGGACACCCAAGATAACCATGTTGTGCTTGAGCGGTGATTTCTGAAGGAAGAGAAGAAGAGACGAAAAAGAGAGAGAGAGATAGAGCGAATAGAAGATAAGTTGTCAGAGTGAGACTAACCTGAAAAAAAAGAGGAAAAAATGGAGTAAAATTTGAGAGCTGAAGAAGAGAATGAAAGAAAATAAAGAAGTGTTGACGACTGAATTTAATTAAAAAGCGGAAGCAGTTAAAGGGAGATACAAGGACAGAAATCCCGAGGTAAAAAAAAAGAGATTGTAAGAAGGCAAATATGAGTCAAGAGGAATGAGGAAGAAGACTGAAATAATGAAAAGAAAAGGCGTAGGAGTGGATGCAGAGGAAAGGAGAAAAAAGTAGAAAATAATTTTGGATGAAGGAACAGTAGGAAAAGGCATTAAAAAAATTTATTAAAAACGAAGGGAGCGAGAACGTTAAGAAGGAAAAGAAAAAATATTAACATTGAAAAGGATATTAGTCCAAATAGGCGTAAAAATAACTGCGCTTAAAGCCGGTTGAACGTGAAAAGTGAGCTGCAAGCCTCTTCAGTCAAGAACGTATACACAACTGTCTGATTCTGATAGAAGCAAGTTATTTTATTACTAAAGATATGGACGCCATTTTGATTATCTATAAGACGACCATTTTGAAGACACAATGAAGCATTTGAACAGCTTTTTTTAAGTTTTTCATTTGGAGAAAAATGTATTTGATTATAAAAACAGGCACAACTACTTTCTTGAGAATATAATCATTTTGATTTTTATACTTTTCATTCATTTTTTTCTTTTATTAGGAACCTGGAGAAATGATTTTAAGTGAAATTTCAGTAATTCTACAGGAATTCTTGGTAATAAGTCATATTAATTATCTGAAAGTTAAATAAACACATTCATCATTAATAATTTTATGACATAATTAAATTTAGAAACAAATGAATTAATTAAAAATCAAATGATGATTTCGCATAATTATTGTTTCAATTACTTACTTTAATCTATGTTATCACAAGATTCTGGTTTAATACACTCTTCATTACCATTTTATTGCCTAAGATAAGATTTAAATTATTGATTTCAATGCTATGTAACCAAAAAAAAAAAAAAAGAAGCATCACTTGGAATAAACTCATTACAATTAGTAATTTGCATTCAAATCCTGGTAGTGGTTTACTTCGCTGACAATTAAAAAAAATATACATATGTACACAGCTATTTTGTTAAAAGCAGCTATAGTTATTACTTGAAAGTTTAGCACTTTCATAATAATAAAAAACGTAAATGCTAAAATACAGTTTAGAAAGAAATGCATTAAATGTTTATGTTGAACATAATTTATTATGCTTTATTTTAATTGTTCAAAATGTCCTCATTTTTAGATTTAAGAGAGTGATTTACTAACATCAACATTCGTATCTCTTGTAATTATGTAAAGATTCTCTTTGATTGTCATCCAATTGTATAAATTTATCAGTTCTTGTGGAATAAATATTTTAAGCTATCCTCATAAAAAAGAAATAGCATGGTATAAAACCTAGTTAATGTGGTGAGCTTTTAACACTGCCTTCTTCATTTGCCTGGAAATAATTCATTCAAAGTAGACCTTGCATTACAATGACAATGAAGAAGTGCTCAGTCTTGTTGAATAGAACTCATTCTTGGCATCAAATAGGCAAAGGCTGCTGTTGGTTTTAAATTGTCTTCATAGAAAGAAAAGTCTTAAGAAAAACATTGAGAAGTGAGGCTAAAGATTAGTTGTCCTTGTACCATGAAAGGAAAGAACTTATTTTCCTTATCTGAGTCAGGCTTCGATAACAGGTGGGAGAAAGCGTTTGGCCACTAAGCAATGTTCACCGCACAATGTATAGGAAGGAATGAGATTTTGAGAAGCATGTTGGTCATTGTAATGTTTAGTTGAAGCTTGTGTGGAGGAAGACCAGGCAAGTCAAAGAAGCGGATGAATTTGATTCTGAAGTGCCCAAAACTATATCAGCTGATTTGTATAGCTGAACAACTTTCCCTAGGAATCTGCTGCAACAAAATTGAATTATTTTTTTTTATGACAATTATTACAGGTGATGGAGTCACAAAAAATACATAGGAGTAACCTCGAGTAATCTAACAAAAATACATAGAAGAAACTTGAAGGAATCTTAATAAATGATTATATGAACACAAAAGGGACATCTTACAAAATAACACATCAAATGCGTTGGTTGACCACAATTTTGACTCCTACTCTGATCAAAGGAGAAAATAATTCACTACGAGGCAAATGTCTAAAGAGTGCCTTGATTGCAAGGTCATCTAATTTGCGACTTTGCTGTTACAGCATTTCACGATTCCTGGAAGATTTTCTAATATCACAGTGTGGAATACATACATACAAAAGTGATGGGAAGTAAAAGAAAAAGACTCTAAAGGAATTTGGCTAGATAAGAAAAAATTCCCAGCAGCCGTCTGTCGTGCGCATGCTTAGTCCTACCAACATAACAAATTTAGTCCGATGAAGACCTGAAGGACGAAACGCGTAACAATTAATCTTTCTCCAATTAGTCATACAATTTTCCCCAATACTGTTTTTGATATATAAAAATTTATATTGTTATCTCAAATATCTATCTATCTATCTATCTATCTATCTCTCTCTCTCTATATATATATATATATATATATGTATGAAGAAATATAGTTTTAAGGTTAAAATGCTCAATATCAGAGATAGAACGTATGTAAATATAAATATAAGTGAACATTGAAGTCAACACTCAGAGGCGACAGGCTGATTCATGTTGACGGAATCGTCAGTCGCAGCCTGATATATATATATATATATATATATATATATATATATATATATATATATATATATATGTGTGTGTGTGTGTGTGTGTGTGTGTGTGTGTGTGTGGTGTAGATATGAAATGAAGTTTGAAATGGAAGAGAATGTTACTTTTAGCAAAATTGTAGTTTGTTTTCCCATGTAAATATGAATTAAATTTCATTATTTCTAAACCCTAACCACTATATATATATATATATATATATATATATATATATATATATATAAGTGCAAATATGGTGACATCGCTAGTAAATAATAGCTTTATTGCCTCCGTACATGCTACGCTACACCCCATGTGGAAAGTTCGACTTTTTAAAATGCACATTACTGCATTCCATCTCACGCAAATATTTGTATATACATGCATATACATATATATATATATATATATATATATGCATATATATATATATATATATATATATATATATATATATATATATATATATATATATATATATATATATATATATATATATATATATATATGTGTGTGTGTGTGTGTGTGTGTGTGTGTGTGTGTGTGTGTGTGTGTGTTTAACTGTTACTGACACTGGTATGCAACTGAAATATATATGATAACGTATCTCAGATATTACATGTCGATAGAAACTATGCCGGGAAAATAAAAAAAATCAATACGGTAATCCCTCATATGAAACAAAGAATATTTTTGTCCATAAGTGAAAGAGAATTCTTTGAGGAGATTTTTTTTTTATATTTGGCAAGTGGTATGTTTAAAAAAAATTAACCCAAATTTTTTTTCTTGTTTGCCGTTTTTATAGTATTCAACATTTTTTTGTCACTTGCCAACCGATGGGTACATGTGCCCAAAGTTAGTAAGCTGTTAATTAAGCAACAAAGAAATACACCCGCGTCTAAAGGAGTGCAAGAGGAGGTCATCGATACTGAGCTACCAGTATCGATCACATAATATAGGCACTTGAAAGACGATTGGGATTGATTGATGTTTTTAGCGAGAATAAGCAGAATTCAATTGTTAAAAAAGTGTGAGAACTTCATTAGGCGTGAAAGTGAAGTTTGAGAAAAACAAATAAATTCAGTTTTGAGGAACGAATTGAATGCGTCAGTTATGACCCTTTTTTAATGTTCCTCACCCTGATTCTATAAATGACAAAATTTGGTAAAAATAATTATTTTCTTTGAATGTACTTGAACAGCCGTAACTTGATATTATTATTATTATTATTATTATTATTATTATTATTATTATAAGTTTGGTACTGACTTTCCACACTACCATAACGAAATGTTTAAAAAAGAAACCTTCAGCGATACTATAAACACCAATAACAGTTAGTGGGCCTAGTTACCTGAAAATCTGTTTTAATCGATCTTTAGCAGACATCTCAACATCAGTCACTTTCTCAACGACGTGACATGGCTTCCATTTGTCTTTTCTACATATATTTTATGGTAATTACTCTAATGAGCCTTTTTTTCCTGGTGTCCCGACGACTTGAGTTTAAGGGTGCTACGAACTTGGCAACTAGGTCTCACTCGTTTACTGTTGAAATAGTTAAATGCAACCGCTATTTCTAGTCTAGCAGTTTCTTTTCTCGCACTTCTCGCCTGTGGAATTCCCTTCTGATTTCTTGTTTCCCAGATAACATAAGTTTAAATGCAACGCCAATCGCCATCTTCTGTTTTCCTCAATCCTCCCTATTCTGAGTCTTTCACAGTCTTCTTATTCTCTTTCACTTTCATTTACTTTAATAGCCCTTGCTTTCTGATGGCATTGTGATGGCCAGACAACTCTTTTCACGGACTATTTAGAGGGTGTAACGAGCAAAAGAAAAGAAGTACTGAGCTGTTACGTAATATCTGTCCTCCTATATGGCAGTGAATGCTGGAAAAGAGACTTGAAGCAACAGAAATATGGTCCTAGAGAAGGATTCTAAGAATACCATGAACCGAAGTTTAAGAGAAAATGGAAACAAAAAGCAAACATATACTTAATATCAGGAAGAAAGAGTTGAAATTTCTAGGGCACATAATGAGGAAAGAGGGTTTGGAAAATTTGACACTCACAGGACATACATAAGTCTAGAGGGGTAGAGGAGAACAAATCATGACCTACTTAACAAGGATAAGAGAAGATGGAAACACGAAAGCTACTTATACTCAACATCAAGAAGAGGCAGTTGAAATTTTTAGAGCATATAATGAGAAAAGAAGGCCTGGAAAATTTGATACTCACAACGCATACATAAGGCAAGAGGGATAGAGGCAAACAAAGCATAACCTACCTAAGAAGGAATAGAGAAAATAGAAACAAAAAGGATACTTATACTTAACATCAGGAAGAGACAGTTGAAATTTTTAGGGCAAATAATGAGGAAAGAGGGTTTGGAAAATTGAATACTCACAGGACATATTGAAGGCAAGAGAGATAGAGGAAAACAAAGTATAACCTACTTAACAAGGATTAGAGAAAATGGAAACAAAAAGGATACTTACATTGAACATCAGGAAGAGGCAGTTTAAATTTCTAGGGCACAAGGAGAAGGGTTTGGAAAATCTGATACTCACA